TCACCCAGTCCCCAGACCACCTCCTGTCTGGAAACTATCAGTCTGGTCTCTGTATCTGTGTTTCTAGTCTACTTGTTCATTTAACTTTGTTTTTTAGATTCCACATACAAGTGAAATTATATGGTATTTGTCTTTCTCTGACCTATTTCACACTCAGCACAATATCCTCTAAGTCCATCTATGTTGTTGCAGATGGCAAGATTTTATTCTTTTTTTAATGACTGAGTCATATTCCATTGTATATATACACTACTTCTTCTTTACCCATTCATGTATTGATGGACACGTACATTACTTCCATATATTGGCTATTGTAAATAATTCAATTTAGTGCTTTGGGTTTCTTTGGATAAATAACATTAGAAGATTTTAACCTATGTACATTCAAGGGCTCAACAGACAGAAATCAGGAAGTAGAGAATTTATCTTTATTTTCACTAACCTCTAGCTTAAATGTAGCATTTCCTTCAATTACAAATGTAGGCATCAAACCAGAGCACTTTCAGCAGTACCTGTGGTATTGTCATCAGTAGAATTCAGAGATCTTTTTCACATCATACTATATAGCCTTTGTTGATATCTTAAAATATCTCAGGCTTACCAGTACTTCTTCAGAAGTGTGATAGTTATTAGACCTATCACTAGTCCTTTTAATTCATGTATTACATATATTGTAATATCACTATACTTTTACTGTTTTGATCATTGTGTTTCGGAGTAGTCAGCTTACTTTATAATCCTATCTGCTTTCTTTTATGCATTAAAAAATGTGATTCTGTTTCCAGGCACCATTTCAGAGCCTCTAGTAGTTGCTGTAACTTCTCCTCTCCCTCCAAGCAAATCCACAACTCAGGGCAGGAAAACCTACAAAGTTCTGTTTTCTTTCTCTAAACTTGCCAGAGGGGAGAGAGGCGGGAGGAGCAGGGAGAAGGATGAAAAAGATGAAGGGAATAAGAGGTACAGACTTCAGTTACAAAATAAGTAAGTCACAGAGATATAATGTACAGCGCAGGGAATATAGGCAATTATATCATAATAACTTTGTATGATTACAGATGGTTAATAGATTTATCATGGTGATCACATCATAAGGTATATAAATGTCCAATAACTATGTTGTACATGTGAAACTAATATAATGTGTATGAACTATAATATTTTTTACATTTTTTATTGTTCAAGTACAGTTGTTTCCATCACTTTAAATTTTTTAAAGAAATATATTTGTTTTTAAAAAGATAATGTGCCAAGGGTGCAAGACTGCAAAGTAAAAAGGACAGATTCTGAAATGAGATGAACTAGGTTGTAAAATGGGCCCCTCTTCTTTCTGGCTTATTAACCTGAGCAAGTAATTTTATTTATTTTAGCTTTAATGTCTTAAAATGTAAAATGTGACAAATAATATACCCCTAGGTGGTTGTGGAGGTTAAGTAAAGTGGTGTATGATGGTATAGTCTGGCACATCACAGGTATTCAAAAATCATAGTTTTCATTAGTGTCATTGTCGCGGTCCTCATAACAGTGTCAGGATGTTTCCTTTTTCCTCTCCAGCTCGGTGACTGTACCTACCCTCCCTACAGTGTCCAGGAGTCTGACATGGGAAACCCAGGAAGCTTGCTTATTATATTAATAGTATCTTGAAAGTATCTTTGGCTTGTTCAAAGCAAAATCTGTTTATTTTTTAAATCTTCACAAAGCAAATCTTAATTTATTTACCTATAATATTTTCTTCTCAATTACCTTGCCACATTAGTTTCCTAATATAACAAATTATCATAAGATGGGTGGCTGAAAACATTTATTCTCTATGTTGTAGAGGCCAGAAGTCTGAAATCAAGGGGTGGGAAGGTCCAAGCTCTCTTTGTGGCCCTAGGGGAGAATCTTGGAGTACCTTGGCTTATACTAGATGCATCATTCTGATCTTTGCCTCTGTTCTCAAATGGCTCTCTCTCTTTTTGCCTTTGTGTCCCTCTTCTTCTCATTCGAGTAGGGCCCACCTAATCCAGTATGACTTCATCTTAACTCAGTACCTCTGCAAATACTATATCTCCAAATAAGATCACTTCACAGGTGCTGGGGGTGAGGACTGCAACATATCTTATAGGACACAATTCAACCCACAACACTTGCAAGTGGACCCTATATATTTACTTTAGATCAGGTTTTCAAATAGACATACGCAATATCAGTTTTGGGGGATGGTATTTTTCCTCTGACTAGTAATTTAATCTCTCTGTGCCTTCAACAAATGTTATAAAGTGTCTAATGGGAGGTAATGAGAGCTATCTTGGTTTTTCACTTTTGTAAAGTGAAGAAAGGAATCCTGTATAGAAAGAAAAAATGTGTAGGGAAAGTACTTTAAAACCATTAAAACTGTACTGAAAAGCAAGAGTTAAAAGGGTAGCCACTCCACTGAAAAGTCTGTTTACAAGCGTTTATGACTTGGGTGTGAATTGACCATTCAAGTTTATAGAGCCCTGGATTGATATGAAGCTCAGGCTGCTGACCTGTGAGAAGAAGCTGACTGAACAGAGCTTTGGCCACTTACTCCCCTGATTAGAGCATTGTAAAGGCAAGAAACAAATCTCAAGAGATCATGGATGTGGTCAACTGCTTGTTCCTTCAGTGTGTCTGTGGGCCACTGCTACCCACAGACTTGTCTGTAGCCAAGTCCAGGGTAGATTATGGCTTTGCAGGGATTGTTGTTTGTTGTTGCTGTGGGGTTTGTGGTTCCTGGTATAATCACGCTCAAAGTGCATTTCCCAGAATGAATGTATATTGTATTTCAAAAGTAGGTAAACTTTGCTAAAAGATTAGTCTTGGAGTATGCATCCAAGTTCAGATTTTTTCTGCAAGGAATGTAAGTCACTTTTGGCCAAGGATCACTGTCGGAATGTGAGCTTGAAGTTGAGGGACTTTATGTTGTTCCCTGCCTTCCTCCTTCCCTCTGTCCTTTTGCTTGGAGTAAATTGGAGATTTCAGTTTTATATGTTCTTCTCTTAACTAATTTTTGCAGTTCCTAGAACTTTGATACCACTTGTGTGTCTTCAGTGGGCTGTGTATAGTTGCGGTGGCATTCAACTGGTTCTCAGGGGTGCTCCCAAGGCAGCAGCCAAGCAGCTGACACTGAAGCCTGATGTGTTAAGGGACTCCAGCCGGTGGCACCAGCTGTCCCCTGCTTTCATGGCCTTTCACGGGAAGTAACCATACATTGATATTTCTCTCCCTCTCTCCTTCCCTTCCCCTCTAAAGATAAATGAATAAAATATTTTTTTTAAATTTTTTAAAAATATTTTATTCATTTATCTTTAGAGAGAAGGGAAGGGAAGGAGAGAGTGGGAGAGAAACATCAATGTGCGGTTGCCTCTCATGTGTCCCCTGATGGGAACCTGGCCTGCAGCCCAGGCATGTGCCCTGACTGGGAATCAAACCGTGATCGTGTGGTTCCCAGGCCCTTGCTCAATCCACTGAGCTACACCAGCCAGGGCTTATTGTATTTTTGAATAATGTATACGGATGGAAGAACCGAAGGCACCTGGGCTCCCAGGCCTGTGACTGGTGGCTCACAAACTGTGGTGAGCCCCTCTCCCTGCCCCCCCCCCCCCCGTGGAGCTCTGAGACCAGACTTGGAGGGGTCTGCTGAGACAGGTTATCTTCAGGCAGGGCTGATCAGGGGCTAGCAATTCTAATGCAGTGCTTTTTAAGAGCCATAATTAACTATAGCTAATAAAAGCGATCTTAACATTGTAGTATTTAATTCTCACTAGGACCCATTTCTTCCCCCGTGAACAGTTACAGAACCAAACCCACAGAAGGTAAGCAACTTATATGAGGTTATGAAGCTAGCTAGAGGCCCAACTTGAGTTACACAGAAATCAGCTCATTTTCAAACCTCATGGCTTTTTTTCTAGTATGTTGCACTGACTCTAAAAAGTTATTTGAAAAATTAGAACATTATGCCTAATTTAGGATCATAGACTATCCAGCTGTGGTATTGTCTAGGCCCAGGGTTGTCCAACCTTTTGCCGTCTCTGGGCCACCCTGAAAGAAGAGTTGTCTTGGGCCACCCATTAAATACATTGCAACACATAATCACACAAAAAAATCTTATAATGTTTTAAGTAAATTTATGATTTTTTTCTGGGCCACATTCATAGCCATCCTGGGCCACATGCAGCCCACTGACTGCAGGTTGGACACCGCTGGCTCTAGTCTAAAATCTGAGATCCTGAAAGGTCAGCTGTGACCTGTCCAAGCTCACATAGCCAGTGAGTAACCTGATCTGGTTCTTTGAATCCTAGTTCAGTGCTCTCCCCTCCTTCCCATCAGTGAGCGTCAGGCCCTAGCAACCCAGACCTAATCTTCTGAAAGCACCTTCTATTTTCAAACATTATTGCGAGACAATACCTTAGAGTAGCACTGGGTAACATCACACATTTATTCTTCTACTGGCAGACCTGCCTTTCCCGCCATGGTATTGTTATGCTTACTTTTGGTGACACTCCTACCTTACTTTTTATTAACTCCTAATGGTGCTGATTTTGAAAATATCTTGTATCAGTCATCAAACATCACTATTAAACTTAGCTTTAATTCAACCTCCAATTAAAGATAGATTTGCCTATTTTAATCCACATATCAGGTATGTCTGTTACACAAAAGAAACTTTAAAAACAAGTAAATCACCCTGGCTGGTGTAGCTCAGTGGATTGAGCGTGGGCCTGTGAACCAAAGGATTATGGTTCAATTCCCAGTCAGGGCACATGCCTGGGTTGCAGGCCAGTTCCCAGCAAGGGACGCACAAGAGGCAACCATACATTGATATTTCTCTCCCTCTCTCCTTCTCTTCCCCTCTAAAGATAAATAAATAAAATCTTTTAAAAAACATTTAGAAAGCCTTTGCAACAGAGCTGAGGGAGGGTGGAAGGGAATGTATATCTTATTCTTTTTTAATACCTTCCTGGGTTTCAGTGCTCACCTAACTTGTTTGAATTTGAAAGGTTTTTACTGAGGATTCCTGGAGGTGGGGCTCATCCCTGGAGGAAGAAAGGACAGAGGCTTTGAGAATCTCAATCTCCAGGAGGACATGGGGCTCTGGGAGAAGGTCAAGGCCTCGACCACTCTCAGACTATAGCCAGTTGGCCAGCCCAAGTCTGTCTATTCCTGAAGACTCCATTGCTGTGGACCCCCAGAAGGAAGACACTGTAGACAGTGGCCACCAGCTGGACATGGCCTCCATGGTGCCTGCAGACCAGAAGGCTGCCATGTGCTGCCCCAGAGGAGGCCAGAGAAGACGTCCCATCTCTGTGATAGGCGGGGTCAGCATCAATGGGGACAGCCAGACAGAAGCAATAGAGAATCTTCTAACCCAAGTAAGATCTGGTGTGCTCCCACCAAAGCCAGCAGAGCCCTCAGCTTCCTTGCCTCTGTTGTCCCCTGCAAACTGAATCAGATGCTTTCCTTTCACCTTTTCTGACTTGGGAATGATGTCATCTCACAACTTTTCTTCCTGACTTTGCAAGCTACACTGATTAAAACTAATCAAAGACTAATCACCTGACATTTGGATGTGTTTTACTAATCTGTCTTTGCTGGGATCTTGAGTAATATGTGAAATTAGTTGGCTGTTTATTCTAAATCATCTGAGATGTAAAAAAGAGGAAAGTAGCAGTACATATTTAGTGAGCTTCCTGAAAGAAAACAATTCTTTAAAAAAAGCATCATTCATTGTTAACATGTAAAAATAGGAAATAAATAAAGAAGTCAACTTTTAAGACATAAGGAAATAAATTTTTCACCATTTTCTTGCTTTTGAGTTGCAGCTTTGTAACTGCTTTGACAATAGATTAAAATCTTAATATCATTTCCATAGTGTAATGTAGTAATTCAACAAGTATTTGTCAATTAACCAAAGAGCTCTTTGAGGATATAAAACTTTTAAATAAAGGCCCTGTTTCTGTTATTTGATGAGACTAATACCCCACCCATGGTCCAGTGTTCACAGAACAGTACATGAATAAGTGCCCAATTTCATATTTTAAATTTGCTAGCTGATATCATAACCCATAAAATTCTCTAAAAGGAAAGTCTATATTAGTATAGGATTTTATGTTTACATGCTGCCTGTAAAGTGCAATACAATGCCTTGTTTATGTAGCAAGCACTTAAAACACTCTTGCTTAATTGAATTAATTTGAATTTAATTCTTAAGGTAAAAACAAAATAAGCTGAAAAATACCACAAACCTATGTGTAAGAGGCTCTACATGCCAGGAAATAATTCTAAACTAAAGCAAACTGTAATCTCTTAATTCAAAACACAGTATGGGGAAGATCAAAAGTATCTAGAAATCATTTCGCTTTAAGGCATGAAAAAGAAATATAGCCAGATAACTTTCTGCACTGTAAGCTCATTTAGGGAACTAGGTGGAAAACCTAAGGAAGGCATGAACCAGCTTGGCGTCTGCAGTTATAGGGAATGTTAATATGGACAATCAAAAGGGCACACAATTGATTCTCTATAGACCAGGGTAAAGTTGCAGAATACTAGCTCTTCTTTTAAACAAAGCCCTATTGTGATGTTAGTTTACGTAAACAAGAATTGTAGTCCACAGATACTTCACTGACATCTGCACATGGATGAGCAGGAGACCCAAGTGAGTAGCTGGGCTGCAACTGGCTGCCCTGGGCATGGTCTGGCACTACTACTACAAACACATCTTCTTAACCCTGTGACTCTGCATCTCTGTGAGAAAGCCACCACTTCCTAAATTTGCTTTTCCTCCTTTTAGCTGACACTTTGCTTTCATTCAGCATTGCCTATTGGTATGTTGTTGACAGAGATGGAATGTGAGGCTGTGAGGTAAGGGCCATGGGTTGATGCTGATTTGTTTAAACATCAGAATAATTTATTGTAATTGAGCCTCAGTGCAGCCTGAAACTTTGATATCCTTTGGAGAAACCATGTCTATGAGTAGCTTTGAGGTGAGAAGGCTGAGCTCCTTGCAGCTGTGTGTGTGAAGAGCTTGTAGGAGCTGCCACTTCCTGGCATCTTTTCACAGCCTCTTGCTTTCTTTTGTAGCCTGCAGCCAGGCCTCCTGTGCCAGCTCACCAGGTGCCACCCTACAAAGCAATTTCTGCCCGACTCCGGCCATTCACATTTTCCCAGAGCACCCCCATTGGGCTGGACCATGTGGGACGCCGGCGGCGGCAGATGAGAGCATCCAACAGTAAGTCTCACAGGCCCCCGCTTGGGGTGTCCTTTTTCAGAAACTGGAGTGGAGGCCTCACTTTGACACTGTAGTTCAACTGAGGTGCCCAGTGGACTGTGGGCTTCTGGGCGAGGGTGTTGTTCGTGTGATAGTGAATAAGGCTAATCTCAGGAGCTGGGCTTGTCATTGGCTGTGTGAGGAGGGTGCTGTCTGGGTACTCTGCGTCGATACAGTGACCCTAATGGAACACTTGCTCCTCTTATGATGTCTCTGTGCCTCCATGTTCCTTCAGATAGAGATCTGAATGGAGATCTGACCGAGAATGGAGTCCCAGGGATTCACCTTCACCTTTTTGAAGCTCTTTCTGGGTATTCAAGATTCACAAACTGTTTTAAACACTAAAGAATAGTTATCTGCCCTGTCTGGTGTGGCTTAGTGGATTAAGCTCTGGCCTGTGAACCAGGGGTCACTGGTTTGATTCCCAGTCAGTGCACATGCCTGAGGTCCCCCAGTGGGAGGCATGCAAGAGGCAACCACACATTGATGTTTCTCTCCCTCTTTTCTCCCTCCTTTCTCCTCTGTCTAAAAATAAATAAATAAAATCTTTTTTAAAAAAATAGTTATCTAATATAGTAGTTAATGTATTATCATAGCACTTACCTACTTGTTGATTTTCATTAATACTGCATGTTTTGGGAATGATGTTTAAACTTCTAAAAAAGACAAAAGATTGTCTTTTGGCATTTATGTCAGTGCCAGTCCGCCGGGTGCTCTGGACAAGAGTAATAGCCAACATCTGCTGAGCAAGCACTTGCATATGGCAGACACCATCTATATATTCCATTGTGTTCACTTGTGTGGTCTTCTTAACTCTATGCCATGGTGGATACTGTCATTGCCCTCATTTTACAGATTGAAAAACCCAGGTATAAACAGGTAAACCACCCTAAGTCACTCACCCATGGAATGGCAGAAATGGGATTAACCAATCAAACAGAATTTTCAATACAGGCCCATGTTTTAAGCACTGAACTATGCTGACTATTTAAAGAAATGCCACAGGTTATTAATGATTGCAGCTTTAATTGCCAGATTTACTGTCATACTTTTAAAAATGAATATCATGTGGTGAGTATGAGAGTGATGAACTGGGCAGTAAGAGGCCTAGGCCTGAGTTCTGGTTCCTACCCTGCCTCTAACCTGCCATGTGGGCAAGTTCTTCCCATGAGGGTGGTGACGAAAGCTGGAATAAGGGAGAGGTTTAAATAAGGTTTTTTCAAAAGACTTCAAAGAGACTGACTACCATTTCAGTGAAAGGGGGTAGGGAATCAGGATTGGTCAGGGAAGAGACTGGAGAACCAAGACATGTGGAATCAGTGCTCAAGGGAGACATTCTAAAGACAGGGGTAACAAGAAGCTCACTGATGGATGTGACAGGAAATTGTTGAGATGGTTGTCCTGGGAGGTCCAAAATGTAAGAGGTTGGAGAATTGGTGAATGATGAAGAAGTATTACCACCCTTAAGTATGTTGCCATAGTATCCGACTCATGTCACACTTATTTGGAGGAATCAGGGCTAGACAGAGACAAAAGGCAAAGAAAAATTAGATGGCAGCTCCGACTGATGTGGCTCAGTGGGTTGGGCATCATGCCGCTAACTGAAAGGTTGTTGATTCCATTCCTGGTTGGGGCACATACCTGGGTTGCGGACCAGGTCCCAGGTTGGGGGCATGTGAGAAGCAACCTTAATTGATGTTTCTCTCAGACATTGATGTTTTTCTCCCTCTCTTTCTCTCTGCCTTCCCTTATCTCTAAAAATAAATAAATAAATAAATAAATAAATAAATAAATAAATAAATAAATAAATAAATAATTTTTTAAGAAAGAAATTACATGGCAGCTAGAGTTTGAGGAAATTTGTAAACATCTCAAGCCCAGGTGTACAAGAGAGAGCCTGCTTCTAGGAAACATGTCTGTGGCTCCTCCTGTCACTGGTGCTTTTGTCATTCTCTCAGGGGACTCGGGTGAACACCTTGGAATCATTACTCCCCTAATGCATAGTCACTAGGTTCAGTCCTTAGCATCCCCCTGTTCCTCAGGCTCCGTAACCCTTACTCTCAGCAGCTGCCCCTCTCCCATTACTTTCTTGGGCTGAACTTTGTACGCTCTCTGGTCAGAGTTACTGTTCACATTCAACTCTTGTTTGTTATTTCCTTGCAAACTGACCTCACCATCGGTGGAACAGAGTCTTAGTTCCTTACATGAGTTTACAGGTTTCTCTGCAACCCCGGTCTAATGTCCCATCTATTTCTCTCACTTCTCTTGTCTGAGCTTACCATTCAGTGTTCCCACCATCCACTCCAGGGTCTCATGCTCCCTTTGCTCCAGTTTGCCTAGAATTCCCTTCTTTTTCTTTACCATGTGTCTTTTGTCTTTCTATTTGAAATTCAAAACATTCCCTGTCTACCTTTGGCAACAAAGTAAATTCATTGTCATACTTCTACAAAGCAGTTCAGCCACAGGTCTCATGTTCATTCTCCCTGATCCAGGCATCAACTTCTGGTGATGTATTGTGAGAAAGTTCTTCAAAAGGAGAAAAATGCTGCATGCAAAAATGTTCTCCACAACATCATTTGTGATAGCAAAAGGTTGAGTGGTGTCAATGTCCAGCAACAGTGGACTATTGAGTTGAAGTCACAGTTGGGTGACTACTTCCAAACAGTTAGTTTACAACATAATCAGGACAAACAAGTAACAGCATGAAAAAAGAATGCTATAATTTTAGAGTGAGAAAAAAACTAGAAATAAAATTATATGTATATTAGGTTGCTAGGGCTTCCATAACAAAGTACCACAAGCTGGGTGACTTAAACAGTAGAACTTCATTGTCTCGGTTCTAGAGGCTGGAATTCAGATCAAGGTATTGGCAGGGCTGATTTCTTCTGAGCGTTGTGTGAGAATCTGCTAGCCTCTATGTGAAGGTGAAAACAGTGTGGTTAGGATGCTAGGACTAGAGGTGATTTTTCCTCCAACCCAATACACATACAAACTGCTTCTTTCTATACTTTCTGTGTTTGATTTGGTTTTGATTTTAGTGTTCTTTTCTCAAGGCAACAAATGGGTAGCTTAAGCAAAAAGAAAATTTATTGGAAGGGTGTCAGGAGTTCCCAAAATTGATAGGATGGCTGGAGAGCCAATCTGGAAATGGATGCCAGTCAGGGTCGCTTCTGGGAACCAAGGAACAGCAGGGAAGGAGCCAAAGAAGGTGTGTAGCAGGACTCTGACTGTAGTGCTGCCCCTGAGAATGAGTGAAGGCCAGCCACTCCTTCTGTCCTGTCACTCAGTCAGGAGTCAAAGTCCCAGGATAGCGGATTCAACTTGCAAAGCTTACTGGCATGTCCACTGCCTGCTGGCACTGAAACAGGGAGAAGTATTGGATGCCTCCAGGGACCCCTTGACTTTTGTATTAAGACGCAGGCGCATGGAGACCACACAGTGGAACGGAGGTCCTTTCTCCAAAGAAAGTCCAGGTGGTGTTAGAAATAGAAATAGATTCTGGACTGGTCCTCCATTTGTTCATTCCCACATTTAGTAACTGTTGAGTATGTACCATGTGTCAAGTAACAGCAATGAAAAAAACAAAGTCCCTTAAATCACTTACATTCTAGTGAGGGTGTTAATAAATTGGTTGGTAACTGTATAACATTGCAGGTAATGCTGTAAAGAAAAATAAAGCAGGGTAGAGAGTATTCATTTTTAAAAGAACATTATTCTAACATGATGCACCTGTTCCCTGTATAATTAAAAACCCTCTCTTTCTGGCCTTCTGTCTCCCTCCTTCTCTAGAGGGAGACAACCCAAAGGCTCATCAGCTACTGCAAACACCTTCCAGTCATACTCACTACTTCTCCATGCCTGTTGGAAGGTCTTTTTAAGTTTTATACCCAGAGGTAAATTTAAGCAATGCACCCTTATCATAATGGGAAGAGGTAAGGGAGAAAAGGTGTTCCTAAGTACAAAATAAGTAGAAAATACATGTAGACATACACAGTTCCACAGAAAGGGAATTTCTCCTGCCTCAGGTCACAAGGCCATGTGTATCATTTTTTTACTTTGGTCACGGAATTGCCCTTGCATGCTCCCCTTGTACTTCACCCAGCACTGTTCTTTGCCAGCTGAAGTAGTCCAAACCTTTGCTTTGTAGGTTTCCAAGCTGTTAGAGGTCCTGCTTGCACAGAGTGGCCACAGTCTCCTTTTCTCCCCTCTTACAGTTAATCAAAAATCAATCAGTCTACAAAATGTGTAGAGCATCAACTATGCACCAGGCACTATTTTCACCATTTGGAATCCAGCAGAGAGTAAATCATCACAAAAAGTTTACTTTCTAGATTTAAATAGATTCAATAAGTCAATCAATAGCATTATCTTCGGTACTAATGACTGCTCTGGAGAATATGAATGTGGGTAATGTGGTGGAAAGCAAGTGGAGCAGGAGTGGCAGAGGGCGACCTAATGCTCTAAAGAGGTGACATTAGGCTTGAAAGATGAGCAGGATGTAAATAAAGGTCTTCTAGGGAAGAGAACACCCACTGGAAGGAACATCAGAGGTCCACATATAGGCAAGAACTTGATGTGTCTGAGGGTCAGAGAGAAGGCCTGCACAGGTAATAAGGGCAGGAGAGGAGGGCATTGCAGCCAGGAGGTTGTCTGTGGCTAGACTGAAAGGGCATTGCAGGTCCCAAGAAGGAGCTGGGTTTATTCTAAGTGAAACATGAAGCCACTGCCAGCAGGGGCATGGCATGCTCTAGCTCCCACTTTAGAGAGGACACATAGTCTGGAGGAGAAAAGGCAGAAGAAGGGGACTGATTTGAAGATCATTGCCTTAGTCCCATTGAGAAACAATTGTGACAGTGACCACAAAAGACATTTATGTGTTCCTTGGGTGCCCATTTTTCCAGTTCACAAGGAGGTTACCATGGCCAGCCTTGGATCTAATCCAGTAGGGCCAAGCCTGTGAA